CATCCACCTCTCCACTTCATACTGCACCCTCCTATCTCCTCCTCACACAATACCTGCCTCTTCATCTCCCATACTTACACATCACACCAACTGCTGCACATCAAACACTGCACTCTCTCATCCTTCCACATTATCCTCCTCCGCCCCACCCCCCCCCCTCTTCATGGCTCTGCTTCTTCACCCCTGAAGCTACTAATTCGTCCAGAGCAACAATTACAGCCTGTCGCCCAAGAAGGCGCTACAGGGCAGCTTCATGGAAGTCACTCATTACTTGTCATGAGATGCCTTGCTGGCTTATTCACATGAGTGGCGATGAGGACAAGCAGGTGGGCAGGTGGAGAGCATGCAGGCCAAGCCATTGTAGACTAGTGTGCTTCCAATGCTACTGCTGGCGGCCTCACGGAATCAGACATATTTGACGGAGGCGAGTGTGGACTTCAGGAATTGGTGTGGAAGATAGATGAAAATGCGTGTACATGTGGGTGGGCGGGTTGTGTGTGTGCTTGCCCCTAGAATGAAGCAGGCGGTGGATGCGCTGGACTAACACAGAGGCCAGATGAGTACACGAAAAGAGTTATAAGGAATGCCTGGTATACTGCCATGCAGTGATGTAGGTGGTTCTGGCAGTAGTGTTGGTGGTCGTGGTGGTGCTGTTGGGGTAGGTAGGAGGAGGAGGAGGGCAGTGGTTCTTGTTGGCGATCGTAGGTGAATGGCCATTTCGGGCCCGCATGCTGCACACGATCAAGCATCCGGCATCTTTAAAGATGTCATGAAACTTGTCTCAGGTGGATCGGCTCCAGCAGGAGAGGGAGAATGCTGCTGATGATGATGACGATGTGGAGGAGGAGAAGGAGGAGGACGAGGAGGAGGAGGAGGAGAAGGAGAGAGTGTGGAAAAAGCATCACAAGGCTACACTGCCTATGATCTTTTTTTCCGCTCAAGTGACCGTGCTTGATCCGACCATGATGCAGTGAACACGGTGGACAAGGTGGCAATAGACTGCCCAACTATCGCCTGATCGTCAGGCTTACAACTGCGTGCGTGCGTGCGTGTGTGTGCGTGTGATGGAGAGGGACAGAGAGAGAGAGAGACATTGTGGGATGATTTACGTACTGGAATTCTAATTGCGTGTTAGCAGCCGCAGCAGCAGCCGTATCAGCAGCAGCAGCAATGTTAACTGCGGCAGTATTATTATTTGATTTGTGGTGGTGGTGGTGGTAGCAGATGTAGTAGTAGTGGTAGTATTATTTGTAGTGGTATATCCTTAATCTACTTGTGGTATTAATGTTACTTGTAGCATTGGAATAGTAGTATTAGATTTGTTATTTGTAGTAGTAGAAGTATTAGTAGTAGCGGTGTTGGTTGTGTTAGTATTTGTAGTTGTTGTTTATGTGTGTGTGAGAGGCGTAAGACAGGGACGCATGTCTCATTAGCCATCGCGAACAAAGTCATCTTCCCTGACCCTCCCATTGTCTGAGGATTGGAATATATGCAGCTGAGATGCATGGCATGCTAGTATCTGGCGCCATGATGCAGTTGTCTCCAAAGGCATCCCTCTGAATGACAAAGCAACTTCAGTACTCAGTACTAACAGTGGTTCATCAGGATGATGGGTGAAGAGGGTGTGGCCAACATTGGCTGGATGAAATGAAGGGCTGTAGATAGAGGCTACTGAAGTGAAGTAAGTGGGAGATGAATGGCATAGGGAAGTGGTAGAAGGAGACATGCTGGAGGTGATGAGAATGTGAAATTATATGGAGAAGGGGATGTGAGTGAGGATGAGGATTGGATTGGTGTGAGAGGGATGAAGTGGTGAATGATGATTATTGAATGGGAATATAGGCAGGGTGAATGTGTGGTGTGCCTGGTGGGAAGAGGTGGTCAGTAAACTTACCTGGCACCGGGTTCAGGGTGATCAGCAAGGCCCTGACCCCAGGTGGAGGCTCGCCATTGCACTCCGGCGTGTTGAAGCCTGCGACGGACTCTAATCGGGTTCGCTCGGGTGCATAGTTTTTGCCAGTGGGGAGCCCTCGGGCAGCCCTTGCATCTGCAATCCAAGACAATGCCTGCCCAACACCCCCCATCTCTCCTGCATCATCCTCACCCTCAACTTCACCTCACACCTGCTCCTCCAACCACCACACCTTCATCCACTGCTCCCAACCTCATCATGCCATCATCCACCTCTCCACTTCATACTGCACCCTCCTATCTCCTCCTCACACAATACCTGCCTCTTCATCTCCCATACTTACACATCACACCAACTGCTGCACATCAAACACTGCACCCTCTCATCCTTCCACATTCTCCTCCTCCGCCCCACCCCCCCTCCCCCCTCTTCATGGCTCTGCTTCTTCACCCCTGAAGCTACTAATTCGCCCAGAGCAACAATTACAGCCTGTCGCCCAAGAAGGCGCTACAGGGCAGCTTCATGAAAGTCACTCATTACTTGTCATGAGATGCCTTGCTGGCTTATTCACATGAGTGGCGATGAGGTCAAGCAGGTGGGCAGGTGGAGAGCATGCAGGCCAAGCCATTGTAGACTAGTGTGCTTCCAATGCTACTGCTGGCGGCCTCACGGAATCAGACATATTTGACGGAGGCGAGTGTGGACTTCAGGAATAGGTGTGGAAGATAGATGAAAATGCGTGTACATGTGGGTGGGCGGGTTGTGTGTGCGCTCGCCCCTAGAATGAAGCAGGCGGTGGATGCGCTGGACTAACACAGAGGCCAGATGAGTACACGAAAAGAGTTATAAGGAATGCCTGGTATACTGCCATGCAGTGATGTAGGTGGTTCTGGCAGTGGTGTTGGTGGTTGTGGTGGTGCTGGTGGGGTAGGTAGGAGGAGGAGGAGGAGGAGGAGGAGGAGGAGGAGGATTGGAGTGGTGCTTGTTGGCGATCGTAGGTGCATGGCCGTTTCCGGCCCGCATGCTGCACACGATCAAGCCTCCGGCATCTTTAAAGATGTCATGAAACTTGTCTCAGGTGGATCGGCTCCAGCAGGAGGGGGAGAATGCTGCTGATGATGATGACGATGAGGAGGAGGAGGAGGAGTAGGAGGAGGAGAAGGAGAGAGTTTGGAAAAAGCATCACAAGGCTCCACTGCCTATGATCTTTTTTTCCGCTCAAGTGACCGTGCTTGATCCGACCATGATGCAGTGAACACGGTGGACAAGGTGGCAATAGACTGCCCAACT